ATGATATAACAGACCAACCTGATGGCCTTCCCTGAGGAAAACATGAAGTTATGAAGTGCTGGAACAGGGGTGAAGAATCTGTTTAACACTGAAAACAGAAATAACCTCTGTTACCCTCTGAAGACAGCATTTCACACTGCAGTTTCACACTGTATCATGCCTGCTGCAGCAAGTTGCCATAGGATGGCAGCAAAGGGGAGACAGATTTTCAGCTGGATAAACTGCTAACGCTAAAGCTTTTAAGCTTTTGGAGAAACAAGATTTTCAAGAGAATCTGCTGATGGAATCATTATCTCACTTGATGACTTCTGGGAAAGAACAATGAAAACAATGCAAGTGGATTTTATCAGATGGCTGGCAACACTACTTCTTGTTTTCTATCATAGGTAATTGCAGTAGAAATTCTACAGATCTTTTGCACCAGGATAGTCCACCACTGTGTTTGGGTTTTGGGTTTTTGTGGGTTGGGGTTTTTTTGTTTGTTTGTTTTTTGTTGTGGTTTTTTTTTTTTTTTAAAGCCTATGTAGATTGTTTTATTTCAGTCAGGGAATAGGAAATATGAGTTTAAATAAGCATACACAAAGTCAAAATCATGGAGGAGATGGACGGGGTAAAAACAAGAGAAATGAGGCTCTGCATATAGAAAAGAACCACCCAATTTTGTCTAGCGCTTGGACTTCACCCAGTGACTTGTAGAAGGGGAGCACAAATTTAGTCAGCATTTTACAGGTTGTCTATCCATCTTTTCTGTGTTGAGTGGCCTTAAGAAGGAGACAGTTTAAATTGCAACTTTAGAGAGCTAGGAGAAATTGTGGGAGAACCAACCCGGTGCTAGTGTCATTCTGATCAGACAGGAATTCCAGAGTAGCAAGTGCGTGAAACAGCAAATCAAAAACATCATGACTGTTTAACTGAACTCATGCAACACAGTTGTCCTCGGCGGAGGGCTTGCCCCATGTTCTGACATTCTAATTACTTCATGCACAAGGACATCATTAAACTGAAATCCTAGAACAACTCCACCCTTTTGCCTCCTGCACAACCAGGAGTGAAGTACATTCAAATTACCAAGGCCTGAACAAGTTCAAGCAAACAAATCTTCAGTGCTCCCTGTCAGAAAGTGGACTAGCAGACAGCTCCTTACAAGACAGACTCCTCTTCGAGGAAACTGTTGCAGAGTAACAAAGAAAGTGTTTACAGACAATAAACATCCCATCCTAGGCAGATCCCTGCTCTTCTCCTGTACCGTGGGACTTCGACAGAATAACAACTCCATTGGAGTTCTGAATGCTTTAAACTCACCAAGAGGAACATAAGCACTATAGTGACGAATCCCAGTACAATTCCTTTAGAGTAAGGAGGACAAAAACCAACCAATTTTAGTCAAGATCTAAAAATATCCTTTCTACCTGACATAACAAAACAGGGACTGAAAGGCATCAACAACCTATGCAAAGCATCAATACTTCCAGCTAGCAATCCATATAAAATGAATAAATAATTCGTAATTACATATGTAGTGTACACCATGCACGTCAAGAAGTGCTCCAGAGAGAAGCACAACAGGCATGCTTTACCCTCTAAAAGCAAAAGTCCTCCAATTAATTACTGTCATTCTGGAAAGGCTCTGGACTGCAGAGACACAACTGAATCTCCGTGTACAGCTGCAAAACTACATTAGGTATTTTTCCTATGATGTTTTATAGCCTAAATTGACTCCACGCACCCCAAAATTTGAAGGAAGTATTCAAAGAATGTACTAGTACTCTAGTACAGTACTAGTACCTAGTACTCTAAAGCAGGTGCATAACAAACTGAAGAAAGCAAGATTCAATCCCAGAGAACTTAAATCCCTGCTTACACTGTACACCTCTGGGTTTGTCCCCAGAAATAAGCCATTTACACTGAGGCTCCTGTAAAGCAGCAGCTGTTGTCTTGCTCTTTTGGATTCTAGTCTCCAGTTCCTTCCCCTCGTTGCTTAGATCATGCAGCTTTCAAACAGGCAGAAGCTCTGGGGGATATTCACCATAGCAGTATTTTGCAATTGGATCTCTATAGGTGTTTTCATGCTGCACACTCTGTCAGGAAGAGGAGGAGAAGCTTTAACAATACACACATATTGAAACAATACATCCCTTCACTGAGGGCCAAAACCCAGAGCATTTCTATGTATGCAAAAAATTTCCCAAGTTCTTCTACACGTTAGAATATCATCTGGAGTCAAACAACACGGCACTCCCAACATATGAAAGACAGTTGCTTTATTATAGCACTTTATGTTGAACCATACCCAGAACCTTCTATTCAGGAGACTACCCAAGTAGGTGAGAACAGATTCAACATTCCAAAAAAAATTATATATGCTTAAGCAGTATCGTCAAATGTCCTAAGCAAGCAAGACATAATAAAGTTGCTACTTGAGATGTGTGCATTTTTCTTGATAAAGCTAGAGTTCAGATACTATGGGTTAAAAAAACAACAACAAAAAAAACCGCACAACCAACTTTGGAGACATTTGGAATTATGTTCTTTGTTTGCAATCCATCCCTATTGCTATATTAAATACTCAAGCTGTGCGACATCTCCAACAGCACTTTCTAAGAGGGACAATACTTGCTTAGACCAAAACTTCTAATAAAATCACATGGGTAACAGCAGTTCACCTCTGTTCTTAAAAAGCAAAAAAATGACAACATACTTTTTCAGTTACTATGCAGATGATTGTCAGCATATGGTAAGTCTAAAAATGTACCATAAAGTAAATAGCATTCTGAAGCTACTGGAAACAACTCTCCCTATTCTCATCCTTACAAGATCTCCCCCAGAACTCATCCAAGATCTTCACCGGTCATTGAACTCAGCTGGTCTTTTTTTAGTTTAAGTACCTCTTTCTCTAAACTCATTCTGCTCTAAATATGCACTTTGCCCTTCATTTACTGCTGATGTTATTATTTCACCTTACAAATCAGAGGATTGCCTTCAGATCAGCTTCAGCACTTACGAAAATGCTCATGTGCATGCAAGCACAACAGACCAGCCATTCAGAGGACCAAGCCCCGTTTTCCAAGGGTGTTTTTTGGGTATTTTTCCATTTTTGAGCCCTGGACATGTACTTGTGTCTTACCTGTGATGAAGTCCTACATTTCGCCAGACACAACTCAAAGCGATCTTCCACTGCCATGAAGAGGTTTTGGAAAGCAATAGCTGCCCGGTTCAAGAAACGTTCCAGAAGATGTTGCTAAAGTGGTTAGCAAAAAAGAAGACAAAAACACAAACACCATACTTCAACAAGGAGTAATCAAAGCCCACCTTAACCTACACAACCCAAGTATCAGAGGAGTAGTAAGCAACTCCACTTAGAACTTCTAGCAAGCACTGAAAGGTTAATGCATCACGGAACCCCAGAAGTAGGAGGAGAATCTAGAGAAGCTAACAGAATACAGCAAAGTGCTAATTGCAAAACTGATACTGGCTGGAATAGCTTTTCTGCATCATTTCCCTTTCAGCAAATGCAATTCCCCTGAAGTTGAAACATTTTACAAGGCCCCCAGTATTGGAAATACTCAAAGGTGGGCAGGATAGATTTTTTTTTTTTTTTTGAAGCTTTATTTACAGCTTGCCATATGGTCCTTGCAGGCTTTCCTCATCCTGCCAAGAAAAGGCACTGTCCCCTCTAAGGGAAAAGCTCCTCACAAACAAGCACTTTAAGCCACAGAGGAACCTGAGAACACCCAAAAAGGAGGAGAAAGTCTATGCACCTTGTTGGGCTGCAGGCAACAGGAAACGCAGTACTCGTACACGCTGCAGCAGCCATTGGGAAGGCAGCTGTCACAGCTGTACAGCTTTGTACTGGGCACGTTGACATTACAACAGCCATTTACCAGTAGGTCCTTTCTCTCACAGATGTAGCCTGAAAAACAAAAACGGTAGTAACAACAGGCAAAACGTACTCCTTTCTGTGTTCTATAGAAATGCTATAATAAGAATCACATGACTTAAGAACAGGTTTATTTATCATTTAGTAGATTCCGATCCCCCTCCATCTGGCTGAAGTCCTAACTAGCAATTCTTTGAAATAACACTTGAACATAGAGCTGAGTTTTACTACAACCTGGTGTTATCTGTACAACTATTATGTACCTACTCTAATATGCTGTACGTACCGTATCAGCCTTTAAATGCGGAATATTCAAGTTCTGATTTCTTTTTGGCGTAATTCATTGTTGTGATTGGAAGGGGAAAGCTGATCGGTGATGAATTTCTCCAGTTCATAGAGAAAGCTATGACATATGCTCTTTCAACTGGTCTATGTCTGGGTAACTCTCTTTATAGTTCAATATGAAGAGACTTATATTTATCCACACAGGATAACTGTAATATTAATTGTTGAGAGGAATCCTTAATAGTGTAGAACCACAGTGTACGTCCCTATGGAAACTGTACTACCACAGTGTTAGACTGTGAAAGATATCCGTGATTTTAGAGACCTTAGTGAATCAGCAGTAAGCGTAATTCAGGCAGCGCTACATTTAATATTGATGCAAAGCAGAGAAGATGTGGTGGTTTTTCTACAGCCTTGATTTCTGGTCAAGAAAGATCCAGTGCCTGTACAACAAGCATACTGGGGAAGCCTATGTGCATGGCAGGAAAGGCTCCATACACTTAAAACAAGTGGCTAATTTGAGAACCTGCAAGAGAGATCCTTGGGTTTACAAGGGTCAGATGAGCTTGTTAACTGTGACTGAGCACCGATTATCCCAGTCCTGAGCTGCCTCCATACAAGGCCCATCAGGTTTCCCCAATTACTCTCCCTGACAGCAGGAATATGCTGCAGGGAGATACAAACAGCTCTGCAAGCAACCAGACTCAATTGAGCAGGACTCGGTATTTGAGTTCTGTGCAAAGGTAACTGGGGTTCTTTGAATCTAAGGTGGTCCTGGAAACAGTACAGCCGCACTCCTATGGTACCGTGCCTGAGCCGCGTCCAGCTGGACCCAGGCCTGCTGCGCACAGAATCAGATCAGCAGCGGCTGTAGCCACGGCAAAATTAATCCAGTCTGAGGCTAAAATGCCAAGAGCTGAGGCTCTGCAGTAAGAATGCCTTAATTAAGAGCAGTTGTTACTTGGAAGTGCCATCAACGATCAGACAGGCAAAGCAGCACTCAACACTGCAATACGCAGAATAAATTCTTAGTATCAAGTATACCCAGTTCGTCTGTAATGAGGAGCTTCCCCTGCACAGAATTCCTGCACTGGTTACTCAGCTGACTGCTGTTTCCCGAACTGAACTTCACCTTCCACATGATCGGCTGCTCGTGCTCTTGCACTTGGAGGAGATTCCGATCTCTCACTGTCCTTTCTTCCTGCAAGGAAAACAGCATTGCAACCCAACATACAAGTTCCTTCTGCCATCCCAATCCATGTGCTTTTCCCACAGTTAGAAGCTCCTAGCAGTTGTAAATTCAAGTGTCAGCGGAGTAAGCAACACATTACGTGGAGTACCTTACTTTTTGCTGTACGCAGCATGAAAGCAACATAATCCGGTAAAACGGGGGTATGCGAGTTCACCACAGGATCGGCTAACACAGCCGAACGCGGTTACTACAGCCACAAAAGTAGCATATATTGTATTAAGTAACCACAGGGACACGTATTTCTCTTTAGTAAGTTCTGTGCCAGGGAATTACAGTGCACAAGAGATATTACAACTGAACAATCAAGTCCCTTTGAGATTTTTTTTTCCAGCTTTGGTTCAAAACACTATTGCTGTCAAATACAATATCAGGCATGGCTTTTTTTAACTCTCGTCTTTATTTAATAATTATAATGTAACTCTTACGGCAACACAGCCCAGGAGTTCAGTGACAGCACTTGAGGAACAAAAGTTCCCCTGGGCTGGGGGATTTTTTTACCCCGCTCCGCAGCGTGCCGGGGCCGGGGGCTGCGGGGCGGGCACTGACCTGCTTGAAGGTGCTGGTGAGGAAGTAGACGAGGGAGAGCCCGAAGAC